CGTGCAGGTTTACGGATTGCGTCATCGCTGTATTTTAGAACAAAAGCCCATAGCAACAGGCAGCCACGTCAACATTTTTCGGCGCCATGTTGTTAGATTTCAATTTTGTATGCAACAAAATAATTCCCGGAAGAGATAAGATGAGGATTGTTAATACAAATCGATAGTTTTAATCAGTGTCGTGTGCAACAAGCGGGTATATAAGGTCCATCATGACCAAGTCGAGGTAACAATCGAAATGTTCATCGCGCTATTGGACGAACGTGACATTCTGAGCTTGTCCGCGGAGCAATTAGAAATCGTGCCGAAAGTGATTCTTATAAAAAACTTTGCTCGGTTTGTGGATCACGTGTGGGATAGGCTACCGGATCATTTAAGAACGGATCCGGAAGTGCAAGGTTATCGTCGGTGCTCGTTGCACTACAACCAGTCGTGGCAGCGTGACCACATCGACGGGCCCCCACCGTACAGGAAAGATTGCACTTTGTGCAAACAGAAATAGGTAAAGTACACATTTTTAAAATATCTTTAATACACATTTTTCGAATGTGTAATAACTAATTGGATATTTTTTTATTTTAATAATTTTTATTTATTACAGAGATGGAAGACAGTCTTACCTTACGAGAGGAAAATCTGAGTACTCTCACAGATTGGTTAACAACATGTCGGGAATGTAGAAGGAAATATAAAAACAGTGAGGAAATAATTGAAAAATATACAACATTTCCTGCATTCATTAAACCATATATTCCGGATACTATATTTCGACAACAATTTATCGAATGGACGAGTGAAATTGACGACAGTGTACTAGAATATTCCGAGGAGGAATTTTCGACGTTTTTAATAGAATCTATCCTGCCGATATTGATGGAAAAGTTGTGCCCGTTATGCGCTCAGGATACCCGAGTTCACAAGTCGATAAAAAATCTGATGAATATCATATTGAAATAAAATTGATATCTTATACAAATCAACAAACAAGTTGATATTTCGAAGATTTCATCACGATATCTGGAAAATATTATGTAGATGTCGACGATCTAATCATTTTTCAACTTATATCATATTGAAGTCAAATCGATTTCTCCATATATCGATTCGACTTGAATATGATGTCTACTAGATATTAAATAAATTACCAATAAGCATTTGATGCTTATACGATATCTTCTATGTATCAAATCGACGCGTACACATCTGTAGATGTCGACTAGATATCAACAAAATACAATATTATGCGGATCAATATTGATCTTTATTATATATTTCATCAGCGGTGATAATGTTTATTATCGGATATTCTTTATGGAATAAGAATATAAAGAATAAAAATAATAAGTATAGATAATATATGTTTATATTTCTTTTTAATATATTACAAAATTTTACATATTTAAGTAGTTAATTATTACCTTATATTACCTTATATTAGCTTACATATTTCAGAAAATAAAAATCAGTATTTTATTTACAACCAAAGTAAAATTTAAGAACATTACGCATAAAAATTAAATTAAGTTTTTATTTACTTCCTGCAATAAAAATTATACTATTTTGATATATCTTCAATCACTTTCAAAAGTATTAGGAAATTGTGCAATGTAAGATTCAGTGTCGGTACAATTAATCATAATAACTTTCTGGACAATACTCTGTACAGGACGAATTTTTAAACTTCCAAACATGTAAAAAGAACATAATTTTATATGAGAAACTTTACTTCGTGAAAGATATGATGCTATAGTCTCTGCATCCTCCAAAATAATTGTAGTCAAAAGAACAAAAATTGATGGTGGCTGTTTATTTAAAGAACTGACAAAAATTCTTTCAATAGATGCATACGAGTCATCATCCAATTTAACAATATGATCAATTGTTTTGCTTCCTTGTTTGGCATAACATCGGGAATGATATTTGATATGATCTTTTATCATTCTCTCATAACATAAATTTGTTATATGTATTTTTTCCTTAATAAAGGCATTTGTCTCCTCAACAGTAAGAGAAATTTCTACTTCTTTTCCAAGCAATGTAACATTTACAAGTTTTGTTACATGTTTTTGTAAATGGTAGTTGAATATTGTTGAACAATAATTTATTGTTGAATCACTAACATTATATTTGCAAAGTAATCGAGATAGTGATTGAAGATATGTGTATTTACGTGCAATTTGAGTTAATACGCCACGCGTACCTTTTACAAGTTTTACAAGAAATCCATTTCCCCTTTCCCATGAAAATGCTGAATAGCACCACAATGGCCCAAACATTAACACCGTTTTACCTAAATGTAACAATAAATGTACATTATATGTCATATTGTGAGGACCGTAGAGCTTTTGGAAATCTATTACATATTGAATCAGATGCCAAGTGGCATTATCAAGATTAGAAATAGAAATCTTATGTTGAAGGAAAGTATAAATGGCAGAAACAAGTACACAATGATGTTTGTAATATTTCAAAGGTAAAATATCTTTCAAACATGGCAGGCTGTAATAAAGAAGCCATGCACGCCATTCATTAGCTTTCCAAAAAGAACGCTCTTTAAGTGATCTGAGAAGTCTTGGAAAACTTGAAGGTGGACGTATTGCAAGAAGTCTATTATCAACATCATTACGCTTTAATTCAATATAATATTTTTCATTATGAGATGTACTATCTAACCACAGGCAAGTGACAAATTTGACTACACCTAAAAGGACGCAATGCATATAATCTAATACGAATCCATTTACAAGGTTAAACTCTAAAAGAACTGCTAAAGGACTAATACCTTTAACTCCACGAACTTCTATACCAGTTTGTTCAACCTGTAACATATCTTTCCTGATACCATCATTGGTTCGATCTTCAACTTCGTATATTTTCGTGATGTTAGTAGCTCTTTCAATTCGCGTCACGGTATAAGTAAGACTATTATCTTGAAGCATATTGATAACAAAATTATCACCTATATTCATAGCATATTTAACTGTAATTGGATTTGTATCAAGATCAACAGATGGCATTAGACCGTAACCAGGATGAGTACAGTAACTACATCCATAAAAACCATTAAATTGCTTTATTTGTTGAACTAGGGGTTTTGCTATAGAATCAAGAACACAGTTTAAAACAATAATTTTACTGTTAATGCGAACTCCAGTTGGAGATGTCCAATTTAGTCCTTCAGAGTGCAATTTTTTGGCTTCACATAAAAAAGGGGAAAGAAATTGAATCATATCTGGATCTTTATCTCCAAACCAAAGTCCACATATCATTGTGTTCTTTAAAGCAAAACGACTCTTTTGGTGGAAATTCATTAAGTCTAAACTGAATTGGCCATAATGTATTTTTGCGAGATTTAAAAACAGGGCACCCATCTGTATAAAAAGTTATGCTTAAGTTATTTCTGTTGCACAAAATTGACCCATTTTTACATAAATCCTTATAGATTGTTCCACTGAACGTATCAAATATATCATTTTCATATAGATATTTATCTCTGTAGCATAGCAATTCCATTATATTTTCGGTTGTCTCCAATAATGTTCTTATTTGTTCTGCCATTGAAAAAGTTATAAAGAAATGTCCATTATTCATTTTGCAAATGTTACAGTCTGTATCACATGTAGGACATTTAATGTTTTGCCTGTATCTTTTTTCTTTGGAAATGGAATGTTTTCCCAAGTAAGTGTTACAATTACTACAGTAAAAATGAAAATCTGACTTTAATTCAGTTTTAAATATACCTCGAAAACAATGTTCAGTTTCAATAATTTTTTTCTCTTGAAAATAAAGTTTATGAGTCTCAAAAGATCTTGTATAGCTACATCTGTAATTTCATGTCTCAACGCAAAATTAAGGATCATAAGTAGAACTTCAAATTTTGTGGTACTGACTTCCTTGCATAAAGGTATATTTAAGTTTGGACGAATTTTCTGATTAACAGTTTCATGAATGTGAGCAGCATCTTCTTCATCAATAAGTATTTGAGTTTCACAATGATTCTGCAAGAAAAAGATACTGTACTTAAAAATAAATAAATAAATATATATATAGATTTATATATTTATTTATATTTATTTTTATTTATATTGCCTGGTTAAAGCGATAAATTAATAAATAATTATCACTCTGCCCGACTGGTCTCGGGCATTATGCATAATTCCTCATTCATCACTTTGTCCATAACATACATAATACAATTAAAATAAAAATTAATAAAATAAAAATGTAACTATTGTAATAAATGTAGATTTTAGTATAACAATAAATACTTCTTTGTTTAAACTTCTTTCATCGTTACGTCGTCGTTCTCTTCGATTGTTACATAGTTTACGTCATCTTTAGCAACATTGCGGATACGATCTTTGCATCTAACTAACCAGGATTTGATGAAACTGATTACTTCTGCTTCAGTTGAATCGGGTGTGCTTTTGCAATATCGAACAGCACCTAATATAACAAAATAGCAAAATAAAAGTATAACACAAACTGTATTAAAAAAT